TGTCTACTTTTTTGGTATTTCGAAGTGGTTGAGATCCGTCTCCCAAGGGTTTACAGCGTAATCGAAGCAGCCGTATTGAGCCATAGAATATTTTGACACTGTTCACGTCAATTGCCGCGCTTATCTTCGCATTATAGAGTTCAACACTGGCTGTCCTGCAGTAATTCCCTTACTTTCTTAGTCCTCCGTGTGCTAGTTTTTATGCTACTTGAGATATCTAAAAAAACATCTGGTCAGTTAGGCTCCCTCAGAACATGGCGCAATAAAAAATGATATCTGATTATTCTGTAGTTGAATGTAATACCAACGAGAAGTTACCACGCCATTGTCCGTTCCTCTGTTGAAAAATAAAACTTCTGCCGTCCCGAGAACGCGGTAGTCACTTGCATATGAATTGGTTTATAATGAGAGATATTAGCGTAACACTTTCCATGCCTCTTCTTCCAGTTTTCGTTTAAATGGGAAGAAAAGTCTAGATAACTGCAGGCCGGCACGTGTGCCATTGCTAACATGGCTGAACCTACCTGGACGCGTGCAGTACATGTACGGGTCTTCACGCGCACATGAACCGCCCTGAAAAAAAATTTTGAATGAAAGCTCTAGGATAGTTGCCATAAAAGTCACATTGAGACGTCACTGCGGTCAAACACTCACTATTGAGGAGGCGCCAGACGAGTTGAAACTCTTTAGGCCGCGAGGGGTAACAAATAATGAGTACCAAGGATTCTTTGTGGCGAGGGAAGTATGCTCTGTGTCGCACTTTTCTATGAATTACTAGTAATAATTGAGGATTAACCTGACCTTTGATAAGATTGGGTGGTGCCTGCTGCATCCCATGCGTACCACGCCATGTGCACCCACCATTTAGGTCTAACACACGTATGGTGTGTGCATTAGATGGTGTCTTCACGCCTCTTCACCCCCATTGACATGACTCGGGCAGGCAAACAGAAAGAAAATCTAATGAGAGAGAGGTAGTTCCGGCCTCAATTAAATGCTTAGTTTCTTTCTTCAGTTAACCTAACGCGCGTCTGAACTACTACGACGCGCAAGCTGTCATGGTTTCGAAACGTTTCAATTTACGGACGAACTCAGTCCCATTTGGAACGTGGGTCAAAGTGCAATGGCCGCCTCCCCCTCACACTAAGAGGGCCCTTATGACACTTCAAGTGGAATACGCTACCCTTAAACTAAAGTCGAGTGTATGTAGACTCGGACCAGGCCGTTTGTGACAGTTGTAGACGAGCTGCTTAGCTTTGTCAACTGCTACACCCTCGTCCTGGGAATAGTAAGTTACTGGCGACGGACGTCTCGCCATAAATCAAATAATTTGCAGACAATCACCGCGTCCACTTTGTTGGCTAGTGACGGTCACCAACGCTCGCGAAGTTCCGGGCCATATACGTCGATGACACCTTCGTCATCATCAAAAGGAGCAAAGTGCAGACCTTAAAGTCACTGCTGAACTTCATCTTTCCTGACATCCAGTTCACTATGGAATAAGAGGTCAACAATCGGTTACCCTTCCTCGATATACAAGTGACGAAACTGGCAGACGGAAAGACAAAGACAATGGTCTACCGCAAGGCAACCAATATCATGCGCATTCTCCACCTCAGAAGCAACCACCCCGTTGGTCACAGACGCAATTGTGTTAGAACCCTCTTCTAACGCGTTCAGACACACTGCAGGGACGAAAGTGGGAAAAAGGAGGAGATCAAGTACTTACGTGCCCCATTTCAGGCCACCGGTTACCCAAAGTCCTTTGTACGCAAGTGTCTTAAGAAGTCCCACTATGAGCGGTCGAAAGGAGAAAGACCCTAAGTTCTGGCTCGCAATCCCTTATGTGAAGAATGTATCAGAGGCAGCTGCAAGAATACTGAAACCATTCGGGATCGGTGTTGCTCATAGGCTGGAGTCAACCATCAGACAGCAGATCATGAGGCCCAAAA